GTATTTTTTTTTCCACTTGGGCTTAAAGTGTGTGCCATGATACAGGTGCTAATTGAGGGGAAAGGAATAACAAAAAATAAATGAACAACCTTGGCGAGATTTTTTTTTTCGGGGCGGGGGTGGCGGAGGTGCCTTGAGTGAATATGCGATGGAAGTCAAACGTTTTTACTGTATGACAACGCGGGCTTTTTGCATGGATGATTAGAGTTATGTGCCATTTGTTTTCAAGACTACGAGAGTTTCAGCATTACTGCAACCTGCGCTCCCCCAGTTTATCCAACTCGGACTCGAGTACATATTATGCTGTCTTTCAGTTTTCTCTCTATTTAGAGGCCCAAACGTGAAATTATTCCTTCAAAAGTTTTGTCTTGCATACTTGTCCCATGAAGGGGAACCATGACCCCCCCCCCCCCCCCCCAGTGCCCCTTATCACTGATTTGCCGTTGGTCCCGATTTTTTTCACCAGATCCTGATTTTTTTACTCTAAAATCCTGATTTTTAGATTTCATAGAGTGGCAGGTCTGTAGAGGCCTAACACTCCTGTCCATACCTGGGAAAGTGTTCAACAGGATACTCCTGGAGAGAATCAAGCTGGCAACAGATGAGAAGCTCAGAGGAAACCAGGCAGGATTCCGCAAGACCCGATCATGTGTGGGCCAGATCGCTACCCTGCGCATCATTGTTGAGCAATCCCTTGAATGGAATTCACCACTCGTGGTCAACTTCATTGATAATGAAAAGGCATTTGACAGCGTGGACAGGGAAACTCTGTGGAAACTCATGCGGCATTATGGAATACCTGAGAAAATCGTCAAGCTTGTGAAGGCTACCCATGATGGAACAGACTGCCAAGTCTTCCACGAAGGACAACTCTCAGAACCATTCCTGGTACAGACAGGACTGCGACAAGGATGCTTGCTCTCACCTTTTGTCTTCATACTGGCAATTGACTGGATCATGAAGGAAGCCACCACAGGCAAGCGTAATGGAATACAATGGATCCCTCGACAGCAGCTGGACGACTTGGACTTCGCCGATGACCTTGCACTGCTCTCTCACACACATGCTCAGATGCAAGAAAAGACTAAGGAACTCAACAGCCTATCGAGGAGTGTTGGCCTATGTATACACCCGGGCAAGTCGAAAGTAGTGAAGCTAGGAAAAGTGTCAAGCCCTGCTGTGACAGTAGAAGACACTCCCCTAGAAGAAGTGGACTCCTTTACCTACCTTGGAAGTGTCATTGATGGTAAAGGTGGAACTGAGGCAGATGTAAAAGCAAGAACCGCCAAGGCAAGGTCAGCATTCAAGCATTTATCAAAAGTCTGGAAAGCAAGCAACGTCTCACTGCGCACCAAGATTCGACTCTTTAATTCCAATTTCAAGTCTGTGCTCCTCTATGGCTGCGAAACTTGGAAGACAGCAAAGACAGTGCTGAATAAAGTCCAGACTTTCATCAACAGATGTATGAGGAATATCCTAAGAATTAAGTGGCAGGATAGAATAAGAAATGAAGAGCTGTGGGAAAGGACAGGACAAAAGGATATAGAAGGAGAAATAGGACTAAGAAAGTGGCGTTGGATGGGACACACTTTCAGAAAGCCCAGCGGAAACATCACAAGACAGTCACTGCAATGGAACCCACAAGGAGCACGAGGCAGGGGTAGGCCACGGGAAACATGGAGGAGATGTATGTGGAAAGGGACATGAGAGGGATGAAGCTCACTTTAGCGAGCATTATATAATTAATCATCACCTCGCAGAAAGGCTTCTCGTATACCGGTATTCTCTGTCAATCCTCGAGACTGACTCTGTATTATTTGATTTTTGATCAGGAATGCAATATGTTGCTGTGTCTGCCTGGTAAGATCTGTTACAATGGTCGAAGTGTTGGATGTAATAAAACGAGGTGACAGTGACGGTTAGATCTAGATCTAGACAGCTGACAGAGAGAGACGAGAACAGTAAACAACGAATGTAGCTAAGAGACAGATGATATTTGAACTTTCATTGCTGCATTTGATACTTGATATTTGATCGGGAAAAGGTGTAGATCTAGATCTAGAGAGCAGACGGCGAGTATTGAATGCGAGAGACGTGAACGGTTAACAGCACTTTTTCTGTAGTTCCCACCCCCCAATTGTTATTCACTGGTTTTGGCCCCAAGAATAGGGGGGTTTCAGGGGGCTTGCCCCCCTGACCTAATCAACATATGGGGGGGGGGTTCAGGAGCCATGCCCTTCTAAATTTTACCATAATTTGATGTTTTGCAGTTGTTAGGTTTGATATCTCTTGCTCGCCATGGATCAGACATAGATCTAGGCCCAAATAAGGGGTGTGGGAACTACCGAAAAAGCACCGAAATTTGGGCTTTTAATTATAAGTGGTAAACTTTTATTTTCACTCCCGCGGACTGCTTCGGGGGTCAAACTG